GATTTCCATAGTGGCTGCACCAATCTGCAGTCCCACCAACAGTGCACCAGGGTTCCCTTTTCTCCACAGCCTTGCCAGCACTTGTTGTTTGTTGATTTATTGATGATAGCCATTCTGACTGGAGCATAGTTAATTCTTAAACTTTGAAATATAAACCTTTATAGTTGTAAAGAAAAATAATCATTCCTCTAGTGAAGTAATCCTTCAGAAAATATTTGTTTCTATCTTAGTATATGTTTCATAATCATGATACACTTTTTGTCTTATAGCTGGAATTATTTCTCTTCTGGATGAAGAAGAACCACAGCTCAAGGTATGAGTTGAAGAAAAATTAATGGCTTAGCATAAATACTGTGAAGTTCTTTGAATTTAGTGATATCTGTATATCTTCCATCATTTAAAACAGACATCATACTCAGCCTATACCCAGTCATTGAAATCTAGCCCCAGAGGACAGTATTTTGACAACAGCAGTTGGTTTCCCCTGGAGTTTAACAAAGCTAAGGCATATAAACCTCAATATGGCACCTGAACACTCCCCACCCTCAGTTTCTTTATCAGCAGCACAAAAAATTATTTCTTCTGTGTCACATATTTTAAAACTATTTTCATTTGACAAAAATTTTTAATTTATTCAAGTGGCTATAGACACCTGAATTTTATTCAAACTAGCAACTAGATGTCAACCTTGTATATTCAAAGAAGAAAAATGATTATTATGATAAGGAATGATATTATATGGCTAGTCTGATATTTGATGATTGAAAACAGAAAGTTAATGTGTAAACCCAAGAGAAAATATAAGGCAGTTGGTAAATTTTTATATTTGTCATAGATAGATTAAAAGTTTTAGTAAATATCACAAAATTTGGCCATTGGTTTGTTGGAACTTTTTTTAAAGGAAGTGTAATGGTGCATCTGTCTCAAAATTGAATTTTGGTTTTATCTTCTACAGGAATTTGCACTACACAAATTGAATGCAGTTGTCAATGACTTCTGGGCAGAAATTTCTGAGTCTGTAGACAAAATGTAAGAAATTAACTTTATTTCTACAAATTGGAATAAGATAGATCAACTTTATTTGTGGATGTGGGTCTTATAGTTTATAAATTCATTTAGAAATTTGCTGCTACTAAATTGTGGCTTGAATATTTAGATTTGGGGTTTTTCAGGAACACCAGACCACAGTTTGAACTAGGCCTATACTTCCTATTCTTTCAGAGAAGTTTTGTATGAAGATGAAGGTTTCCGGAGTCGGCAGTTTGCAGCCTTAGTGGCATCTAAAGTATTTTATCACCTGGGGGCTTTTGAGGAGTCTCTGAATTATGCACTTGGAGCAGGTGACCTCTTCAATGTCAATGATAACTCTGAATATGTGGAGACTATTATAGGTAATTATTTTCCATCTGCTAAAGCTTTATCTTGTCAGCCTCTTTCTTGCTCTAGTGCAAATAGCACTTTTTTTCCCTGAATTACTTTTTGATGTTGCTAAGTTTCAGTTTAATTGGAAGTTCATAATCTTTCTACAATAATTTTATGTAGGCTGAGTTTTTAGATTTAATTTCCAATTCTGTGCTTTATTATTTTTTGTCATAATGAGCAGTAACATTAATAACAGCAATGATAAAGGTACCTCACAAAACATTTTAAGAACGAATCTAAGAAATTTTTCAGAAACAGCTAACTTGATCAACACAAAGGTAGTTATCTCAGTGATGATGTTTATCTCTAGCCCATTGAGCACAGTTATGTGAAAAAATTAAATTTGATTATTATGAGTAACAGAAATTAAATGATAGCAATTTATAGAGTTGTTTCTAATACAGAAAACCATTATTGAGTATCTTAATTGTGGTAGGCACTGTGCCAGTCATGCTTCATACTACGGTTTATTCCAGAGCTGCTTTGTGAAGAAGGAGCTAGCCCTGTTTTACCAATGAGAAAACTTGGATTTCAGGATTGTAAACACATATGGCTGTTAAGTAGGAGGGTCAGAATTTAAAACCCAGGCGTACTCACTTCAGAATCCATGCTGTTTCTACTAGTAACCATTGTTTTCTCATTTATTTTTGAAGTGAGTTAGTAGCACACAGGCAGGGCTTCTAGTTCACCATTTTATAAGTTGAACCAACTATGTAAGATTTTGTTCCAAGATTTTGTAGCTTTAAAAAGTGTTCGAAAGCTTCTGATAGTAGATGAAAGAAAGGACTGCATACCCTTCAGATATATCTTTATGAAATCAAGCTTTAGATCGTAGTTAGAGAGCCTAAGGGTATGTGTTCTCTGTTAGGAGTATACAGTATGGATATTTTTTTAACTTATCATTAAGAGGAGAGCTACATTATTCACCTGAACGTTTAAAGGAAAAAGTTAGTATTTTCTTTCAGAAATTGAGAAATGCGGCACAAGGTAGTCCAAAGGGGTACTTTCAAATGTCCCTGAAGTTCTAAGTAGAATTCTGTGTTCACATTTTTGCCGCGATGGTGTGAAAAGGTTGCAAGTAACTTTACTGTTTTGGGGGGCTTATTGAACTGGAGTTTCTTTCATCTGAGAATCCTATAGAAAGAACACATGGTTTTAAATAATAGACCATATCTTTTGAAACCAGAACATTTCTCTACATTAAGTTAGGAATGGGGAGTTAAATACACTTTCTTTTCTCTTATTTTGAAGGATTTTTTTTTTTTTTTTTAGCTGAGCCATCCTGCTACCTATTGGCTGCTCAGCTCGGGCTGGACTCGAACTGCTGTTGCTGAGAGCTCAAACCCATGAGCGAGCTCTTAACCAACTGAGCCACTTGGCCGGCCCAGGATTTTTTTTTTTTTATGATTGTTGATAATTCTTTCCAGAAGTGATCTGCAAGTGTTTGCAATGCTATTATTTTACAAATTATGCTTTTAAACAGGGCTGGTGATCTATAAAGGGCTATGAAGTAGTAAATGCTTTCCCTGTCTCTAAACTATTTATCATCTTAGCTTGTAGAAAGTGATTGTTGATCAACAAGCTAGTTCAGTTTGTTTTTCTTTATGTGGAAGTGGGGCTCACCCTTCTAGTTTTATAGGGACTGTTAAAATGGAATTTTTTTCTCTCACATCAGTGAATTTGTGAGAGGATATACAAAATAAAATTTGGTATAGGCTTCTTAGTATCTTAATATCATAAACAGTACATCCAGAAAATTCAAGACTAGTAAATCTTCTCCCAGTTAAGATAAGACTTCTACTGGGAATGAGGCTAATATACAGTTATGACATAAATCTGCTAAGTGAGCACACAAATTTACAACTAAGGTACATTTTTCCTTCTTAGTTATAATTTAAGAAAAACTCCCTAAATTCTGTAATTCTGAGGGCCCTCTAATGGGGTAAGGGTAATGTTTTCTCACGTAACTACATTTGGTTCAGTTCAAAAAGCTTATATGCGGGCCTGGTGAGAATTTTCTGCAACCAGAATTGTTTAAGGTCTACTGTGTAGCTGCCTGAATGGACCCAGAGTGTGGTACATTCCAGTTGATAAAAGTCATCTGCTTCCCCCAAAATATGGACCCGTTTAACATGACCACCTAGTGAGCTAGCAATTCTTTATGGTGGTTCAAATCATTTCCGTTTCCTGGGGCTATAGTTTGCAACTGTTCTTGCAGCCTTTCTTTCAAGGGGAGAGGGACAAGCCAGTGAATTATAGAGAGGATAACTATTGTATATGTCATTCAACTTTGGTGGTTATTTTTCTTCCTTAGGAAAGTGAAGAAGGCTTAGGGAAATTCCCTTTTTTGGTTTTTCCTAAAACGTTAAAGGTGTGATTCCAAAGTAGTGTAAGTTGTAAACAGACTTAACTATTGCATATCCAGTGCACTATTGGTGCCCTTTAGTATGTTGCCCCATCCTCCCCATTCACTGAGAAAGCCAAATTGTACACATACACCATTGCATGAATTTTCAGATTGGGGGTAGGGGGTGGGGTGGGCTGTGAATAGCTTCCACCCACTTCCCATTGAGACAATGACTATTTCAGTTGATGTACTACAGTTGCTGGAAAGGTTTTTGGAAATCTTTGGAATTACCTTTAGAACCCAGGGCACATTTCAGGTCATCTCACCATTATTCTACAGAAATGACTTAGACACAGTCCTTTCTGTCAAGGAGCTAATAGTTTCACTAATGTGGAGAGTATAATTTTTATTGCCCTGTGATAATTGCTACAATAGGTCTTTTTTAATAGCCTCAATAATGGCAAGTGCTTGTTTTTTGAAAGTGAAACAGTAGCTATTTGTAGCCGACTATTGAATAAGCAGCTTAGTCACATTGAATAATATAATTTTGATCAAAATAAAGTAATAAGATAGAAATGTTTTTAATAATATCAGCTTTATTGGAATTAGTGTGTAGCCTTCCAATGTAATTGTTATGAACGGAACTATTAATTTGAATGTTTAACTTCTAGCATTTAACAAATTTGAAATTTTCATGACTGTAAGTGTAGGCATTGTCATTTCAAGTAGTTCAGCCTAATTTACAAGGTAATCAGAGTTATTATTTTATTTTCTCCATAGCAAAATGCATTGATCACTACACCAAACAATGTGTAGAAAATGCAGATTTGCCTGAAGGAGAAAAAAAGCCAATTGACCAGAGACTGGAAGGCATTGTGAATAAAATGTTCCAGCGATGTCTAGATGATCACAAGTATAAGCAGGCTGTCGGCATTGCTCTGGAGACACGAAGACTGGACATCTTTGAAAAGACTGTACTGGAGTCGGTATGTAGATGATGTGGTATTAGAGATTGTTATTGATGGAGAATCAGCAAAGCAAATGATCAGAATTGAGAATCATTGGTAGTGAAAAGAAAATCTAGTTTAGAAATAGTAAGGCACTCTTTTGCCTAATGTTTTATTTTTGTAATTTATATATGAACCTTCATCGAATATCTGCTTTTATTTTACTGCATTTAGTTTTTTGAGGTTTTGCTTGGGGAAGTTGTAGTAATTACCCTGCCTTTTTTAAAGAAGATTGTATTGATAAACTATATTAATGTACTTATTATGGCTAAAACTACAACCTAGATTCCTGGCTTGGGGGTGTTTTGCAATAATTATGACAGTTGTAAGTTGCCAACCAAGGTGGTCAGAAAGGTGCAAGACTGAGTTTAGTGGGCATTGATCTGCATGCCCACTTTGCTGCCTCACCACCTGTCTTTCTCCATGAGTTAGTTCTCTGCACTTCAGCCCTTTTGACTCCTCTCAGCTGCTAGATGTACCCTGCCTTGTTCCCCTTGCCAAAAATACTTTCCGTTTTTCCTTTCCCTGCTTTATTCCTGTTTAAGATTTAGAGTTCAGCTCAACTGTTACATGTTTACAGATCCTTCCTTCAGTCCCCGCCACCCATACCTTCCTCAACCCTTACTGCAAAGACTAGGTCCAATTTTTTTTTTCAATTAAATTTATTTAAGAATAGAATTACCATATGACCTAGTAATTCCTCTCCTGGGTATATACCCCAAAAATCTGAAAATTTTTATCCATAAAAGATATATGTACTCCAATGTTCATTGCAGCTTTATTTATGGTGTCTAAAACATGGAAACAACCAAAGAGTCCTTCGATAGATAATCAGATAAAGAAGATGTGGTATATACATACTCAATGGAATACTGTTCTGCCATAAGAAAGGATGAAGTAGTGCCAATTCTTTTGTTAATCTCTTGGAGCCCTGTTGTTGTTTTTTTTTCCCATAGTGTTACCGCTATAGTAATTAATTAATTGTATTATTAGGTAGTTAACATCTGTCTTTCCCACCAGATTATAGCCTCCATAAAAACAGGTACTTTGTGCCTGGTTCACCACTATGTCCCCAAAGCCTAAGGCAGTGTTTAGTAGCAGTGGTGAGATTTGTTTAAAGTGTAAATGAATGAACCACCCAGTGTGATAGAATGGCCCTATTTTACTCAGCTTCACTTTTGTGTAATTATAGCCTTTCCTTGTCTTCATGCGAATAGAATGAAAATACTTGTTTTCATTCATTCAACAAATATTTTTTGAGTGTGTACTAAGTGCCAAACACTGTTCTAGGTTTTGGAGATACAGTGGCAAACAACTCCATCATAGTCCCTGCCCCAATGGAACAATCCATTGGAGGAATAGGCAGCTAGGCAGATAATTATATAAGGTAAAAGGGTGATAAATGTTAAAAAAATAATAAAGCAGAGTAAGAAATGTATCTTACTTTGCAACCCAGTGTACATAAGCATATAGACATAACTTAAGCTTTATGAAACCATTCCTACTTTTACAACTTACACTGTAACTCTGATATTTTAAAATTGTATTTTATTTTTAAAAAAATGTTAGTCCCAGTAAGTTGATTTCATTATACACTGATGGGGCACAGCTCGCTATTTGAAAAATAATCCTTGTAGTGCTTCAGTATGTTTATGTTGGAGAACTTTAATAGGTTGGTATCTCAAATGCTTAGCATGCTTTGGAGAACCATAACATACAAGTCTGGAGTCAAAATTTCCATCAGCCAGATGTGACAGCACTCAAAACTTAAGTCACTCTCTGACCAGAGAGTATAGGCAGTGAGTCACAAGGAGGCCCACTAGCAAGAACTGGAGGTGGAAGGACTTCAGCAGACACAACTGACGAATATAGCCACTCAATCTATGGACAGTTATTTATGTGTATCTTTTTAGAGTAATTGATAGCATCACTTTGTTCCAGCATGCTATGTTCATATAATGATGATCCTGGATGATCACTCTATATTGTTTACTATTCATTTTTTCATGGAGATAGGGAAATACATAATTTAATTTTTATATCTAAAATGGTTAAAAATTTTAAAGTTTTTATTGTTTAAGGGGTTTAAATCTTTGGCTGTCTAGAATGACTAAAAAACATAGATTACATAATTTGATTTCTAAATAAACATGATATTTCAGTAATCAAATAATGATGTAGTTTTAAATTATTTCTTTCAGAATGATGTCCCAGGAATGCTAGCTTATAGCCTCAAGCTGTGTATGTCTTTAATGCAGAATAAACAGTTTCGGAATAAAGTACTAAGAGTTCTAGTTAAAATCTACATGAACTTGGAGAAACCTGATTTTATCAATGTTTGTCAGGTAATTTCATTCTATTAGTTTATACTGCTGCCTCACTACATTACATCATATTACGTTTTATTGCATTACATCGCTATAATGGTTTCATATATACATCTCAGTTGACCTTCATAACAGCCCTGTGAAGATAAGGTGTGTAGTTTATGTTCTTTTTTTTTTTTTTTTTTTTTTTAAAATTTTTTTTTGGCCCTCATATGTGGGATCCGAACCGGGGCCCTCTGGCATCCCAAGCCAGTTCTTAACCATCGCGCCACTCGGCCGGCCCTTTATGTTCTTTTTTACCTATTAGAAATTGCATCCCACAAAACTAAAAGTATTTTGTTATAATGCATTCTTTCTATGAATTTTTTCATTTTGAAAATAAGCCAAGCATTTAAGGAAATTTTGGAAATGAAGGTTAAAAGAGACAATAAAAGAAGAAGAAAAGAGAAAAACACCACCTATGTTACATTATTCTTCAAAGAACTTCAAGTATAAAAATTCTTTGGTTTCATTACCAAAACACAACCAAAACATTTGGGTATATTTTTTTTTATCACTTTTCATGTATGAATTTGCTTGCACATTTAAAAAAAATTCAGACTGTACAGAAAGTATATAAAATAAAAGGTGTATCTTTTCCTTTCCTTCAGCCTTTTCTCAAAGGTAACATAGATGTTTTTCCATTACTTACTATTAGCACGTGTCCAGCTACCTCATTCTTTTTAGTGGCTACTTTGTATTTTTATTGACTGGAAGTGCACATAGGTTTGTTTTTTAATAATTATACTGTATAAATTGTTGTATTCTGCTTAGAGCATAGCATTTTATCACACATTTTGTTTGTTAAATGTGTTCTCATTATGTTTTCATCCTCTACATTTTTAAAATTTAGATTAATACATCCTTTTTTTAAAACGTGCTTTTTTTTTTTTTAAGATTTTATTGGGGAATTGGGGGAGGGGAAGCAGTGCTGGGGTATCAGGGAAGGGGAACAGACAAGTTGCTGTCCTTTTGTTCTTCAGTCGTTGTGGAGGATGTCACTTCACTGGCCCATGTTAATGCCATCATTGCGCTCTTCCTGGGTGAGGCAGTCACTCGCCGGCCATGGTATGGCAGCTCATGAAAGCGCATGCCAGCTGGCGGCCAGCACCATTGCAGCCTACGCTGTTGCCAGTGACTCATGGCAGCCAGCTTCAGGTTGAGCTGTTGTTCACCATCTTAGCTGTAGAGGGCGCAGCATCACTGGCCCTCATGTGGGATCCGAACCAGGGCCTTGCTGCTCAGAGCTAGCATCCCAAGCCAACTCCCAACGAACACACCACTCAGCCTGCCCTAAAATGCTTTTTAAAGCAAGTTTGAAACAAAAAGCTGGAAGAAAAATATTCACATTTTTATCACCTAAAGTCAACATTTTAGTGTATTTCCTTNCTTAAACAGGAGCTGATTGGAAGTAGCTTATGTAATTAAAGGAGAAGCTGATGAACTATTGGGTTGTTGGAAAAGTCATGACGCATTTTTGCAGCGAAAAAGAGTCATTACTTTTCTGACAATCCAGTAGTTCTCACAAAGGTTAAGGGCCAGGGCAACTCTTGGGGCCTAGGTAACAGGAATAATGGAATTGTCTCTTTAGATCCCTATTGTCAGGATGAGTGAACTTGAAATGTTTTTGGTCCCTGGGTCATCCCACTTAAGAAAGATTAAAATTCCAGAGAAGGAGCATCCGATTGGCCTGTCTTGGGTCATAGGTCTACACTTTGACTAGAGGAAGGTGGGAGCTTCTTAAATGACAGTCGCACCAAGACTAACAAATGGGAGAGGAGCATTCCCCAAGCAAGACTGAGGTGCTATCACCAATAAAAGGATACTGTTCATTCAAAAAATGACATGACCACTAGTGTCCCACTTCAAGTAAAGATCAACTTTTGTTCTTGACCTCATTTTCTCCTGCTTTATTCACAACCATGTTTTATTAGATACCTTTTTCTCCTCTTCAGCCTCCCTCTATGCTTCCTCCTTCCCCTTGGCCCATAAGCATGTTCAAGTCTCACCTATCCTAAAAACAAACTTTCCTTGACACTTGCTTCTTCCTCTTGGTTGTTATTTTCCCCCTCCCCTTCTCATGTAAACTTATTAAAAACAGAGCTGTGGTTTCCACTTTCTTTTCATTTATTCACTTCTCAACTCACTATTTTGCATTAGTAAGCACCATTCTTTTGAAATGGAAATTGCTGAGGTTACCACTGATCTTCTGATGATCAAATCCTGTGATCATTCTCACTAGGCCAACTGCTGTATATGTTTACTATCAAAATATATTTTGAAATTAGTATAAAAGTTTGGATTTTAAGTACTGTGTACCAAATCATTGGATCCCATGCCTTTTTTCTAGATTGTTCGACACGGTGGCAGCCTGGGCCTTGGTTTGGCTGCCATGGGGACCGCACGCCAGGATGTGTATGATTTGCTAAAAACAAACCTTTATCAGGATGATGCTGTGACAGGTAAACAATTCTTTCTAAAGACAACAAATTTTAGGAGTAATTAATATAACCGTAATATTTATTTTCTACCTATATNATCTATAATGAAGGCTTTTTTTCTTATATTTATTTCTTTGTTGAATATAAGTACTTACATTTATCTCTTATTGAACACTTGGTTGCATTTTCATCTTGATCAAGGAAATAAGTAAGTTTTTGTAAAAATAACAATGGGAGAAACTCTTAAATTTGTTGAAAAAGAAAGGGAATTAATATTGCCTGAGCTCCTGTTTTTGTACTAGTCTCTCTCATTGGGAAGGTTAGTGGATATTTTTTTTTCTTCTTTTCTTTAGCTAACTTTTTATTTTAATGTATACATGTAGTATTTGGACAAATAGCACAATCAACGTTAATATAGTTTGTTTATGTGTCTGTTTTCCCACTTAACTACAAACTTGAGAGCAAAGTTTTTTACCTTATTATTGTAGCCTTTGTTGAGGTACTGATCACAATTGTTCATATTAATTTTAATTTTTGAACAGGTAATATATTCATCTGCTTCAAAAAAATGTTTTAATATGAAAAGATATATAGCATGAAAAATCTTCCTCCCTTCCCTGTCTCATTTACCTAGTACTTTTTCCCAAAGTCATTTATTCTTTTTTAAAATTCATATACTATTTTAGTACTGAACATATGTTTGAAGCATATGTAGTAATGCTTCCCAAACCTTTAAGAAAATTTTTACAAATGGCAAAAAGACACAGAATTACATAATTTGCATTTATGACAACTATTTGAAACTAATATTTATAATATAATCTCATTAAAAATAAAATTACTTTGATGACTGCCAAAGGTGCAATTCCAGAAGAGGCGCAGCTTTGCTCCTCAGGTTACACCAACACCTTGGAGACCTTGGGCAAGGTGCTGAAGAGAAACGACAAGTTAAACTTTTCAGAAACCAAAAACTAAAACATCTACTATCTAAATCTACTACTGACCTCAAATTGAGACCACAAATAAAGCTCTATTTGACTTGCCTATTTTTATAAACTAGCTATTTAATCTTTATAAAGAAATAGCCAAGATCCATATTTTAAATACCAGTTCAGTTTATTCATGTTTCACCACAAAACAGGGCCTCTGGTTGCGTTCATGTGCAAGCTTGCATGTGTATGAATACTTTGCCAGTGATAAAAATCTGTATTTGTTTTTGTAGGATGCAGTACGGAATTCTGTATGTCACACAGCAACCGTTATAGCAAACTCTTTTATGCATTGTGGGACTACCAGTGACCAGTTTCTTAGGTAAATATGCTTGAAAATTCCCACTTTGTTAGACATCATCTTTAACAGAGACTCTGTTGACATTGTTCCATAAATGTGGAGAGCTTCCCCTACCTGCCAGTGCTGAAGTTTAAATTTTATTCTTGCTGTTTTATATGTTTTTTGTTGATACACCTACTTGTTTTAAGATAAAATTAATAGTCTTTATTAGTTGGCTCGAGTATCAACTTTTGAATGAAATATATTAAGCTCAGAAATTTAATATAATTTTGCTTTTGTTCAGTGGAATTACATATGCATTAAAAAAAATTCTCAAAATATTAAGAACAACTTAGGCGGTAAAATAGAATCAGCAGTCATTTAAGATCCAGAAAATAAAATGATTTGTAATACTTTGACTTTAGTGTTCTAAAAAGCTTGGAATTTGTTTCAGTCATGTTACTGAATTTTCTTTCTTACAGAGATAACTTGGAATGGTTGGCCAGAGCCACTAACTGGGCAAAATTTACAGCTACAGCCAGTTTGGGTGTAATTCATAAGGTATGTGTGAACAGGCATCTGAGCACAGCAATTTTTCTAAAGTTAAAAAAAAAAAAAGTTTACTATAATTCATTGACAAGTACATTTTGCTAGATCAGTCCTCTTACAGGGAAGGATAAAGTAAGATACGAAAATACATATGTATGTGTTTGTTTNTTTCTTCATGTTCTAACTCTTGACTGTGTAGTAGTCATTCAGTGGATGTACTTTGCCTTACTTAGCCATTTCCCTGTTATTGGGCATTTATTTTGTTGCCATTATTTCCTATTCTTAATTCATAATAACTGATTATGTGTTCATTTTAAAATTATTTGCTGCTGAAGGGAACAATAAAGTTTAAATTTAATTCTTAAAAGAAAAATTGTTAACATTATTGGATAATTTTGTTAAAAAACATGGCAGATAATAAGAATCGTTAGAAAACTGCTTCAAAATGGTCATTTTAATGCCTCTTGTCTGGGCCCAGCACAATACTATGAATGAATGACTCCTACAATTTATGGTAAAGCAGAAATTATAAGTTAGGGAGCACTTCAGTATAAATTAAGGGTAAGATTTAAAGAAGCCAAATTTCATTCACCAACCAGTTGTTGAATACTGCTAGTTGCCACACAGTATTAGGAGCTGTGACTATAATTCGTGTGGCTTTTCTTATGGAAGGCAGATGCCATTTTCAGGAAAACTTTTATCTAATGCCAGGATCAGAAATGGAATCCTAGACTAGAAGGTTAGTCTGCCCAGTTTGCCTGTGCTTCTGTTTTCAGTTTCCCTTGTATGTGATTAAATAATGACTGTCACGCTAAGTATCTTGTAGACAAAGTTTTCAATTGATGTGTAATTGTTCTTTATCTGCATTTCAGTGCTTAATTTTCTTAGATGATCCGCAGGCTGTGAGTGATATCTTAGAAAAACTGGTAAAGGAAGACAACCTCCTGATGGCTTATCAGATTTGTTTTGATTTGTATGAAAGTGCTAGCCAGCAGTTTTTGTCATCTGTAATCCAGAATCTTCGAACTGTTGGCACCCCTATTGCTTCTGTGCCTGGGTCCACCAATACGGGTACCGTTCCAGGATCAGAGAAAGACAGGTATAAGTATCTTTTTCTTCATCAGAAATAATTGAACAATCTTTATTTCATTTTGGGAATAGGTAGAATGTTCATAGTCTGCATATTTTAAGAATAAATTTTGCCATTAGCTTTCATAGATTGTAAAGTCTTATTAAGGATATTGCTGTGTTTTGCACTGGGCTGGGCACATTAAAGAAAACCAAGAAATGGACCTCTCTTCTGGAAAGAAATGGAAGGGATTTTCTGATTGGGAGGGCCTGCCTGACAGCATGTGTGCTACCTACTCAAGTAAAGTAAAAATCTCAAATGGGGTAGATGGGCTAGATTTTAGATACTTGAGTAGATATTTGGAAATAAGAAACATTCTCAGCTTTTGGTGCTTTTATTAGAACTAAATATACATATATCTTAGGCTGATACAGTACTAAATTTTATTCTCCTATATTTTCTTACACATTTAGGTCACTTATTAAAAACATTTAACTTAAGTGTCTTTGTTGTGCCTGCTTAATTTCCTTTTAAAGTTGTCCACATAGCAGTGAGAGTTATCCTTCTGAAACCTAAACACATTTCATATAAAATTCTAAGTCTTGCAAGTGGCCTATAAGGTTGTATACCTGATCTGTCCTCTCTATACCCCTCACCTCATTTCTTGCTACTTTATTCTTTACTCACCACCTTCAGATCTCACTGACCTTCTTACTGGTCTTCAAAAACACTGAAAATTTTCCTGTCTCAGTAAGGTTTTCTTGAATTTTAGTTTTTGGTATTTTTCTTCCCTTACTTTACTTTTCTTCTTTGATGTCACTTGCTTCATGTAAGTTATATTTTCTTTGCCCATCTTCCGTATTTGTCACTTTCTTCTGTAGCCTTTTCAGCTCTTTAATTCTTTTTCTATTAATTGAATAATAATTTAAATATAGTAAAATGCATATATCTTAATTATTCAGTTCAGGGAATTCTGGCAATGTAAACACTTATGTAACTATCAACTCTGTTATCATCCCAGAAACTTCCCTTGTGTCCTTTGAGATCAACCCCCTGCCCCCAGGGCAACCACTTTTTTTATTTCTCACCATAGATTAGTTTTGCCAGTTCTTGAACTTTATGAAAATGAGATCATATGACATGTATTCTTTGTTCCTGCTTTTTTCACTCGACATGTCTCTGATACACATCTGTGGTTTTAGGTGAATCAATAACTGATTTTTATTGCTGAGTAGCATTTCATTGTATGAAGATACCACAGTTTGTTTATTCATTCTTATACTGATGGACATTTGGGTTGTTCTGGTTATTGGTTGTTAAGAACAGGCTGCTATGAACATTCTTGTATAAGTCTTTTTGTGGACAGATGTTTTCATTTTTCTGGGGTCAATACCTAGGATTGGAATAACTGGATCACAGGGCATATGTTTAACTTGGTAAGAATCTGCCAAACTGTTTTCCAACATGGTTGCCCAGTTTACCCTCCCACCTGCAATGTATGAGCATTCCAATTGTTCTACATCTTTGCAACATTAGATGTTATCAGCCTTTTTAATATTACTTATTCCAGAGGTATAAAGTAGTGTTTTGTTGTGATTTTAATACAGTCGTTTGTGAGATATGAAATTTTCTCCCTATCTGGCTTATCTTTTCATTTTATTAGTGGTATCTTGATAAACAGAAGTTTTTATTTTTGATCATCCAGTTTTCCATTTGGGGATCCCATCTAAGAAATTCTTTGTCAGCCTCATGGTTGCAAAGATATTCTGCTATGCTTTCTTTTAGAAACTCTGTAGTTTTAGGTTTTATGTTTATGCGTATGGTAGAGCTCAGCTGAACTCTTTGTATATGGTATGAGGTAGAGTGAAGTTTGAATACAGAGGGTGCCAAAAAAATGTATATACATTTTAAGAAAGGAAAAAATGATTAAAATTGTAATAATATATACCGATAACAAAAGATTAATACAAGTCACATTTGACTTCTGTAATTACAAGAGGTGCTCAAAGTGGTTACCATCAGCGCCCAGACACTTCTGATTACGTCGAACTACTGCTTGAGCAACGTTGACCAAAGTGTTCACTTGTAGACATCTCTGCCACACCCCCCCACCCCACCCCCGTATATGGATATCTAGTTGTTCCATCACCGTTGGTTTAAAACTATCCTTTCCCTGTTGAATTGCTTTGGAGGCTTTGACAAAAATCATTTTATTGTGTATATGTGTTAATTTCTCTATTTTCCATTATCTATTTGTCTTTCCTTATACCAATACCACAGTATCTTTGTTACTAAAGCTTATGTTAAGTCTTGAAATTAAGTAGTGGAAGACCTATAGTTATGACTTTTTCCCCCCAAGGTTGTTTTAGCTATTGTTAGTCTTTTGCATTTCTGTAATAAATCGGCAGAGATTCAGATTGGGATTGTGTTGAATCTCTTCAATGTAGAACAAACTGAAACCCCAACTATATTGGGTCTTTTAATCCATAAACATGGTATTATTCTTCATTGATTTAGGTTTTCTTTAGTTTTTCTCAGCATTGTTTTGTAGATTTCAGTTCAGAAATTTTGGTAATATTTCTTTATATTTATTCCTGAGTATATTGTGTTTTTTGATGCTGTTATAAGTGGTATGTTTAAATTTCAACTTCCAGTTGTTTGTTGTTAATATATAGAAATACAGTTGATTTTTGTATATTAGTGTTGAATCCCACAGCCTTGCTTAAATCATTTAGTAGGTCTAGTAAAAAAAATGTTCTAGATCTTTCTATAGAATTTTTACGTAGGAATCATGTCATCTGTAACTAGAAACAATTTTACTTCTTCCTTTATAACTTTCATACATTTTCTGCTTGTTTTCTGCATTGGCTAGAATTCCCATATATTATTGGATAGACATGATGAGCGTGAACATCTTTATTTTGTTATGATCTTAGGGGGATAGCATTTAGTTTTTCTTTTTAATTTAAATTTTTTTCTTTTCCTTTTCTTGTGTTTATTTGCTCTTGTGTTTCTTCCAAGTTAATCATATTTCTGAAATGATTATTTTTCCTCTTTCATTTCTAATTTTTCCCCTAGTTCTGTTTCATTTCTGAGTTTTTCTAATTCTGATATGTAATATTCTTTTATACCTTGTATAATTTTCTTAATGTCTTCTACCTCTTGAAAGTTTTTTTTTACTTGTAATATTGTACGGGATTTTACTTTGATCCTTTTCTGTGACTTATCTTGACTGCAATTAGTTTTTCTAAATTTTTACAGAAGAGACTTATTTAGGATAGTTTTTCTAATTTCACTGCTCTTTAGAACTTCCTCTTATTTGTGTTTGTGGACTAGTAAACAAACTGGTGTCTTATGTTCTGAGAGCTCCTGGCTCTGTTTCCTTTCCCACTTTTATTTGCGCCTTCTTTTTTCCTTGTTTTTTCCTTCTTAATTTGAATTCTATGCTCAGCATTTTCTCCTCAGTTTAGTGCTTTGACCAAGAAAGGAGTGTTGGCTGGTTAGTTTTAAGAGTTGTTGGGGCCCCAATTGTTTCACTTCAAATTGGTCTTGTAGCTGTTTGTGTATCTCCACCTGACTGTTCGGAGAATTTGGGGGATACTTTGTCACCTGGTTTTGTTGTATTTGTTATTTATGTATTTTGCCAACCTAGTTAGTTACTTTGTGTGTTTTTATGAATTTATTTGGAGGAAATTCAGTAACTGGGCTGCCTCCATCTTAATTAGAATGCTTTCTGTTTCTTAAAAGCAATACTTACGAAGTAATTGAACATTTTTTCCTTGTAAAATATTTAATTTGGATATGGTTCAGATCTGCAGTTTGATAGCAAATCACCCACACATACTATTCAGAAAAGATTTATCAGATTAATAACTGTTGGTTCTCTTAATTTTAGCGACTCCATGGAAACAGAAGAAAAGACAGGTAGTGTGCTTGTAGGAAAGACACCAGAAGCGGTAAGTTGAGGTTTTGATGGTGAGGTTGCCATTTAACATATTCCCATCGTATATTGTAAATTACTTTAGTGTTACAGACTTGTTTTTATGGAGGTTTATTATCAGATTTGATACCAAAGTCATTTTATAAAAATGGATTTTCTGTAAAAAGTACAGCTTTAAAGACTGATCCTAGAAAGCACTTAACTTAGAAGAAATGAAATCCTTAGATCTTTACCAAAGAATGAACTCTGTCCTGAATAACTCTGAATTACCTGTCACAGGGAGAGAAGAAAGTATGGCCTCTGTATAAATGGCAACTTATAGAGGGGGGCATTTTAGTTGTCTTTTAATATTCATAGTGTGTGGAAGAGTTGGGTATTAGAGCAGTGCTCTGTTAGACATAAATGTTTCCTCCATCAGGACTTTCGGTTTCTGATGCTCAGGTATATACTTCAACTATTCTTCACTTGGATGCATAGTTCTGTTGATGGCTTGGTAGTCATGAGGCCATATATATGTGTTGAATAAAGATGCTTTTGATTTTCTGTTTGAATTAGGGAGTTCCTCACCTAAAATATAAGTTGGCTCTGTAGAAAATAGTTTTCCTTGCATATCATCAGTAATTAGTTATTCTTTTACAGCTTGGGTTTTTGTTATTTTTTTAATATTAAAATATATTACATTGGAATCTAGTTCAGAATGAATCACGTTCTTTCATCAGGTTGGTATCATCTCTCAGTGGCATCAAATAAATAAATAATTCTTTCTCTCACATTATACATGAGTTTTCTAGATCCTACTGTGAAAATATGAGCGTGGTTGTGTGTATAGACTGTGAGTTTCACTGGTTTAGGGCTGTTAAAATAAAGTTGGCTTAGTAGATTCCAGTAATATATGAATTTTTTTTCTGTGTTCATTTGGTAGAGCCCAGAGCCCAAGGACCAGACTTTGAAAATGATTAAAATTTTAAGTGGTGAAATGGCTATTGAGTTACATCTGCAGTTTTTAATACGAAACAATAACACAGATCTCATGATTCTAAAAAACACAAAGGTAGGAAATTCATCTATAATGAAGGCTTTTTTTCTTATATTTATTTCTTTGTTGAATATAAGTACTTACATTTATCTCTTATTGAACACTTGGTTGCATTTTCATCTTGATCAAGGAAATAAGTAAGTTTTTGTAAAAATAACAATGGGAGAAACTCTTAAATTTGTTGAAAAAGAAAGGGAATTAATATTGCCTGAGCTCCTGTTTTTGTACTAGTCTCTCTCATTGGGAAGGTTAGTGGATATTTTTTTTTCTTCTTTTCTTTAGCTAACTTTTTATTTTAATGTATACATGTAGTATTTGGACAAATAGCACAATCAACGTTAATATAGTTTGTTTATGTGTCTGTTTTCCCACTTAACTACAAACTTGAGAGCAAAGTTTTTTACCTTATTATTGTAGCCTTTGTTGAGGTACTGATCACAATTGTTCATATTAATTTTAATTTTTGAACAGGTAATATATTCATCTGCTTCAAAAAAATGTTTTAATATGAAAAGATATATAGCATGAAAAATCTTCCTCCCTTCCCTGTCTCATTTACCTAGTACTTTTTCCCAAAGTCATTTATTCTTTTTTAAAATTCATATACTATTTTAGTACTGAA